GATTAGCTTATTAAAATAGAGTTCTTTGATTAATTAAAACGAGAGAGTCCATTCTTCATTCTTCTGTTGAGCTGAAAAGAAGCAGGTTAGAAGCAAATGCATGAGATCTTTGAGGTCATATCTCATGCAGACTAGTCCTGTGTCAGAGGAGAGGGGAAACAGTCCTTTCATTCCGTTACATAGTTGATCACATTGTGTTGACTCCGGTTGCATTTGGAGTGTGAGGATCCCACCAAATTGGGCAGCAACATGGAATCCATGTATTCATGTCTACGGATAATAACAACCTGCTTGCTGCCTGCAAATGTCTGAAATGGAAAGAAAGAGAAACGGTGTAAATTGGTTGTAACTGATGCAAACAACGCAGCAGCAAAGCAAACTCCCATGTGCAGGAAGGTGGTCCAAAATTAACTCAGTTCAGTGCAGTTAATACAGCAGATATTTCCACCACTTGCCATCTGAAGGCACTTAACAAAGCAAATATTACAGTTGAACCTCCCCATTAAACTATGCATTGAGTCAAGTTTTTTATTTCAGTTAATTAAACGTTTCCTCAATGCTAACCCAGGTCTTTGCATCAAGTCACTAAATGTTTTCTAAATTAACACAGATTACGATCATTTAAGGTAAAATTCTTAGCTGCAAATGAACACCTGTTTAATGAGGGAACAAGATTTGAATGTAAATGTATTTGCTTCAATTAAGGATGATGCTACAGCAAATATTTGATCTTTTTAGTGTGACAGGGTGAGCGTCACTGTATCCTGACTGACCTGACCTGGCTACTGGTTAGTGCGTGTGACTCTTACCCGCGAGTCTGGGGATTGAATCCCGCCCGAGCCCACGTTTCTCCATTTTGCCACATTAGGGAGATTTGAACCAAATTTAATTTGCCGAATGTGATTACTACCTTCAAGAAACCTTCCTAACATTGGGTGTAAATGACAAAAAAACAGTTGTTTTTTTTCCTCACCTGATCAGACCAGAGGGTAGCTGGATGCAGTGGCGATGCCACACTGGTTATTTTTGTTCCTGAGCATCTTGATGTACCCCTGGTCTCCCCAAGTAACTCCCCAGCTATTAAACGTATAAAGAAAACAATGATTTGCTTCCATTTTGGCTCTTAAAAGTGAAAGACACAACAATGCTGTTCATAATGAAAAATTAAGTCAATATAATCAACACATTTACCTGTTTTTGACCAGCCAGTAGTCCTTTCCATTGTCAGTGCCATAACCCACAACCAGCATAGCGTGATTCAGACGAGAGTTGCTGCAGGCAGATTCATCATACACTCCTAGAAAACACACCAGTTAGCCTGATGCTAAAGAGACAGACCACTTTCTCATTTGATTTTTCTCATGTGTGGAGTGTTGCAAAGGGTCTACCTGAAGCATAAAGCTGGAAGGAACTTTGAGATGCATCGATGGCCACAGAGATGGGTCCGATGGTGGCCACGGCCTGCTTCAGGGCGCCTTCGTTACCTGAACTTATGGCAACGAAGCCTGTGCAGTTGGCGCCGATGGTGTTGGGGTTGTACCGGCAGGTTTTATTCTTGTTGGGAAACAATATGGCGCAATTAAAACAACTATTTCCATAAAATCATTTTATTAAAAAGCTGTTTATATTTTTTTAGGACTTGATTTGATTAAATCTCAAGATCAGCATTTGAAGCTGTACTTCCCTCCCTTTCCATGGCCACAGTTAATTTTCATCCTACAAATGTGACAAATCATTCATCACCAATGATCAATCCAACAGACTATTTACCACTCCCTCATACGGGTAGGAGGCCTCTGTGTCGATCCCTCCGTTTGCTTTGATGTACTTGTAGGCGTTGACCATTGAGCCACCCATGCAGCCCTTGTTGCCAAATGTAACAGAGCAGTCGACTAGCTGCTGCTCACTCAGAGACACCAGATTTCCTGTCTTCTTGGAGTACTGACCCTCCAGTGAACCAGTCTAAACAAAAAAAAATCATAATGATAAAAGATTGTTTAAAAATCAAAGAGACATAATAATGTCAAGGTTTTTTGTACATACTGTGCTGAAAGCCCAGCAGGAGCCACACTGTTTCTGGTCTTTGACTCCTGTAACGTAACCCGTGTTCCTCCAGTCCACTGCGTCGGGCAGACTGTTTACAGTAGACAACACCAAAAAGGTAGAGCTACTGAGAGACAGGGTGGAATTCAGGTAGCCCCTGGAAACATGTTTCTTGTAATCTTCATGAGTCTAACGAATGGAAGGAAAATGTCACCATTACAGGAAATACGAGCTATAAATGCAACTGGCGATTGTTTGTTTATAAAAATGTAAATACCAAGTCAGCAAAAGGGGTCAAGCCAAGGCGGAATGACTTTTTGCCTTGATCTGCTAATGCGTTGTGCGTCGAGATCTCTTTGCGGTTGTCAAAAAAGTTTTTCCTGCAACGTTCCTCGTTTTCTGGAGACCTGTAAGTTTTCTCTGCAAACCAGATAAGAAAAGAAGAAATTTTAGACGTTGTTTCTTTCTTCAAGCTGACAACAGTCAACCACACCTTAAAATAAAACTGTATCATTTCAAATCAAAGAATTTAAAAAATCCTCTTCTTACCCTGCTTGCGTTTCCAGGCGTGAAACGCGTTGTCTTCTGGAGAGCCGTTGCAACAGCTGGCTAGAGCCAGAAAAGCAGCAGCAACTATCAGTAGCTTCATTTTGTCTGAAAGATTAAAACACAGAACGTCCTTCGTGACTTTCAGGAAGACACACAGGTTCCTTTGCTATCAGTGTTAATGTGCAAAAGCATGTATATCTTACCTGCCTGGTCGGTGTGGTGACTGAGGGGCCTCCTCCAGAGCTGTGAAGGAATGTTCTTATATAGGCCGACTCCAGGTTTCCTGTCAGCTGGCTGAAGAAAAGGTGGAGTTGTGGATTATGAAAAGCTTGCATGTTAAACATTTTCAGCCTCAGCAAATTCAGTTAGTGTTTATCAGTGCATGATCCAGCTGGTTGTTGGTCACTTAACAAAAGAAGTTAGTTGTAAAAGTCCGTCCATCCATCCATTATCATCTGCTTATCCGGGTTTGGGTCACGGGGGCAGCAGCCTGAGGAGAGAGGCCCAGACTTCCCTCTCCTCAGCCACTTGGGCAAGCACCTCCAGGGGAATCCCAAGGCGTTTCCAGGCCAGCCGAGAGACATAGTCCCTCCATAGTGTCCTAGGTCTTCTTTTAGGTCTTGTCCCGATTGAACGTGCCCGGAAAACTAACCAGATGCTCGAGTCACCTCAACTTGCTGAAGATGCAGAAGAGCAACGTGTTCCTGTGGTGTCCGTGAGGGCGCACGGGGTTGGTTAGGGTTCCTCCCAAGTCCGTCACAGTGGTGGGTCGGGTTTGAGGGGGTGCGCTTTACCGACTTCCAGGTAGGTTTGTTACCGGAAGACAAGATGAACGGCTCTCTACAGGGACTCGGCTCTCATTGTTCGCTTTGAAAACCCATTCACAAGATTTGATTCGTTCGTGAACGTCACATCACTAATGAGTCAGCAAATTCACAAGAAACAAATCATCTTGTTTCAGCATTTTTGACCAGGGGGCTGACGTCTGGAAACTGAAAGTAAATCATTTGAAAGGATTAAAAGTGATTTCCTCATCAGAGTTCTGTTTGGTGCATTTTGTTCTTCGTGTCACATTCAGTTTGTCCTCAAAGCTCAGTTTGGTCAAAACTCAGCTAGAATTTTTGTTGGGATTTAAATAGATAAGATAACATGAGGTTTTCTCTAGAAGGCCATTTTCATTTAAAGGACCTGCGTCAACCTTATCCTCCTGGGACCCTGCGTTCCCTAAAGAGGACATTAGGTTCCTTCAATTAAATATTTTATGCAGTTTCACTTAGACCTGCTTTTACTATTTAGAGAGTGGATTTAATTAAAACTTATAATGCTTTAAACTAATAAATCAAAGCTACAATATGTAAGATTTCTACCGTGAAATAATAAAACAGTCAAATATCTCAAACATGTTGGAAGGAAGGTTACATTGAAACAGATTTCCATTCAGCCGGATGTTGGCTGATGGTTTTCTCCTTTCAAAAAAGCTAAAAAAGGGACTTTGTTACTGTTTACAATCTGTGAGCCTGCAGGTTTGCCCAGTCTGAGCCCGCATTTGTAATTTGACACTAGTGGCAAACAGCAGCATCGTTTCATAAAGATTCTATGCCAGTGACAGGAGCGACCCACAAGTTATTTCTTCAATCCTTAAGAGGCCATGGAATCTTTTTGTTTTACTCTAATATTGGGTAAAGAAGTTAGAGGCTAATGTTGAGATAATAATGCTAAAAGCAAATAAAAAATATCTCAGAGTACTTTTATCATTTGCCAACAGCTGAATATTGCTGTCGCTGTTTGCTCGTCATCTAGAATCTTATGGCACTTGCTGTGAGATTCACGTAATGATAGGGGAAAAGTGACTGGTTTTGTTTTGAAAATGGGTAACCAGATTTGACCACAGAATGTCATTCTTACGTCCTTTTTACACAATGCACATTTAAAGCTGCAATAGCAAATTTGGAAAAAAAAATTAGCCTAAAGTGACAATGTGCAGTTTTTACCAACAATCTCTGAAAACATCCATTAAAATGTTGTTAAAAATGAATGAAATGATGCCCAGTTTTTGAAAAATACTGCGAGCTTCACAACATAAAACCATAAAAATAATGTCTAAAATAAAACTTTTAACTTCTCTTTAATCTTTAAATAAACATTTTACACCAAAAGAAAGCTCAGGTTTTAGTTGGATATTTAATATCTTGTAATCCCCAAATATTCACACTGAGACAAATTTCAGTGAAGCAACATGTGGCTTCTGGTTGTTGTGTCGTCACTGAATGTTACTTTGTAAAATAATTATGTATCTTAGTGCCTCTCATGGCCCTTTTTGTTTACTTTATCTGCTGTAGCCTAATTTTAATATTTGGTCAAAATAACCCAATAATATAGTGAACATAGCCATTCCGCTGGAGTTTATTAGCCTGGTGAACTAGAACAAACTCTTGCTTTGCAAAGTTTCGGTCTAGGAACGCTCCATTGGAACCTATGCAGCCCCTAGCAGCAATCCATCTGGCCAATCACAGCTCTCTATAGGGGTTTCAAACTGTTACAGTGCTGTGATTGGTCCACAATGGTTGGCTAATCACAGTGCTCTGCTTTGTGGGCCAATCAGGGCCTCTATTCGTCTGGTGGGCAGGATGACGTGACGGAATGGAACAAGATGGCGACAGCTCTTTTGAAACAGATTTTACATCAATTTTAGACAATTTGGACTTGGGTTTTATTAGAATCAGGAGCAGATAGATGTATTTAAGGCCTTTATTTACAAAATAGGATATATTTTCTCCTTCAACAGCAGACTGCCTCATTTACCGACATCCATTGCTGGGAGTAGGTTACGTTGTTTATTGTCTAATAGCATGAGGAGATCATTTGAAAGACAATGGTAGAACCCGCCGTTTCTGACTTCAGTTTCTAATTTAAAACATAGACTAACAAAAAGTATATTAAGAACTGTTTAATGAAAATTGGTTCTTTGCTCATAACTTTTCCCAGTGTGAAAAATAATGTTTAAAAATAAAGGAATAAAGCTGACATTCCGAAAAGATGATGTATTATTTTTCACATAATTTTTGGGGTACTGATGAAATAAAGACATTTAGAAAATATCTACATTTTTTATTTGAAATAAAACCAGCTTCAAACACTAAGAACTTCACGTGATTATTTTAGGAAATATCTGTAATTAACCATAATGTTCCTTTTGCTTGAGGTTTTCTGAAACCAACTTGTTTTTTTTATTCCACATAATTACACATGGAGGTATTAACATAATGTCTCACTTCCTTAATATAAATGTGTGTTTCCACACTTCCCTGTTGCAAAGAAGCCAAATGAACATTTTTGGAATCTGAAAAAACATTGTGTTATGTGTGTTAGCAGCAATGAATAATAAATGACCTGCACTTCATTACATTACAGTCATTTATTCACACATTTACACACACATTCACACACTGGTGATGACGATGGCACGCTGACAGAGGCGAGGCTGCCGAGCACTGGCACCACCGGTCCCTCTGACCACCACCAGCAGGCAATGTGGGAGTGTCAGAGCCAGGGCTTGAACCAGCAGCCCACCAGCTCCAGGGTGAACTCCTAAGCCCTGAGCTATTGTCACTGATCACATATCAGAAGGTCTCAAAAGTTCATGCTCATGTTGAGCTGGGCTTGTATTTGCAGTGCTATAAGATGTCAGACGATGGCAGCATTTCCTCATACATTTATTTGGTTAGATTCCAGTTTGTCCTGAAAGACGTCAAAATTCATTCAAAATTACAAATATTCATCAGTTTCACAAACTGGATCAGCCTGTTTTTATTCCATTATTAAGTTCATCTGCAAATGAAAAAATTATTCAGTGTTTGAAAACACTCAAATGTTTATAGGGTTTTACAAAATGCTATTTTTTCTAAATTAGCATTACCATAAATTTACCTTCTCTTTATTGTTGTTGTTTACATCTAATTATATATTCATTTGCAGAAGAAAGGGGTTCAGATTAGAAAATCGATAACCAGCTATTTTCTATTGTCTTTTCTAATGTTTTAATTTTGACAGAATGGCGCCGTCATTTTAGAAAGAAGTCATTCTAGTTACTGACAGTGGCTACATGGGGAGCACAACGCCACGTCCCAGAAACGCCGGTCCGCACGGAGGCGCTGAAGATAGGTGTCAGTTTTTTTTCAAGCGAGGCTGTTTACAACATGGTGGAGTACTTTACAACAGACATTACGATGCGAAATGGCTCTACGGCACAAACCCAACCGCCAAAAGGACTGTTGATCTTAAAATATTCTAATAAATAGCATACTAGGGCTGCACGATATTAGGAAAACCTGCGATAAGCGATAACGGTGATTAACAATGTGATGACAATATTACATAAATAAAAACTTAACTCAGGAACAAAAATAATCAAAAACAAAGAAATGAAAAAGTGACAAAAATCATAGAAATGAGAAAAGCAAAAGATGTAAGGAAAGGGAAAAAGAAAATGAACAAGAAAAGGCAATCAGTGGATCCGGAGAGAAGCAGAATCTGCCGAAAGAGCAGAACAAAGCTAACTCAGGTGTTTGCTAACTATCAAAATGAAGCGCCGTCCGTCTCGGGGACCCACCCAATTGGCCAAATGGGTAAAGAGCTCTATTTGATTTGTTAAAAAGACATCATGCTTCCGTTTGATTGACAGAATGCATTTTGAGTAGCAAACGTTTGAGCTGACATTCATTGCGGTATTTATTTGTTCTTTGCGATATGCATATTGCGCATGCTGGTATCACGATAATGGCATATTTGTGATATATTGTGCAACCCTATAGCGTACTTATCCATTTTTAATGTCTCACAAAACACGACGGCAAGTCTGATCACGTATAAACAAAAGAGTCACTTTCTACTTCCTGTTCTCAAGTCCCATCTGATGTTGTGACTATTGCGTGATTTTCCAAGAAGCGTTCTGCGGCGTACCGAGTCCTGTATGACCATTTGATTTCCCAAAACCGTGGCGCTTCCATGGCGTGGCGCATCTATCTTCTGTGTGCCCCAGGCTTTATTCATGTAATGGTTCTGAATTCGTGCATATCCATCCATCCATCCATCCATCCACCAATTTTCTTCCGTTTATCTGGAGTTGGGTCACGGGGGCAGAAGCCTAAGCCAAGACACCCAGACTTCCCCCTTCCCAGCTACTTGGGCCAGCTTTTCAGGGGGAATCCCAAGACATTCCCTGGCAAAGCGAGAGTCATAGTCCCTCCAGCGTGTTTTCATTCATTCATGCAAAAATATCTTATAAATGTTTTAAGTAGAATTGATTTAAGATCATTTCTAACTGGCAATGTTGTGATCAATTGATCTGTTCAGTCAAAGCTGATCTCTTTCCCTCTTTCCTATTTATTTTCTCTCTCTTTCCTTCCCTTTTTAATCACAAATGTTGTCTTTTTAAATGTATTATTTAAAATCTTTTTTATATTTAAAATGTTTTGTTTTTGTTAAGTGCCTCGTGATTTTTATCTTTATCTACATAAAAGTTGTTTTCTTTTTTTCTATAAAACAAAGGCCATTCAGTGAGCAATAAGACATCAATTAGCTTCCATATAATTCCCACTTCAGGGGACTTTTTCAGTAATTTTTGCTAAAACTGATTTAAAATAGACATTGTCATTATTCATCAACCACACTGAAACAGCAAAAAGTAAGGTCCAGAAAACTTCCACTTTTCATAGTGTGAAAATTTATTTTATTTTCTTTACATTTATTTACATTGTTCATACAAGGTTACTGAAATGTCATCAGGGCAAAGAAGACATTTTCAGTTACAGTACAGGACTTGGAAGATTTATGTGCAAACATACAAACTAGAATTAAAATGAATAATTATTCTTGTTTTGGACAATTCTGGACCTGCAAATTACAGAAAAATAATAATTTATTTAGTCAAAAAAGCTGTAAAGAGCATTAAGATTAAGGTTTAAAAAGCATTTTTATGGCAAAAATGAAAGAAAATACTTTTTTCTCACCTGATTAGACCAGAGGGTAGCTGGATGCAGTGGCGATGCCACACTGGTTGCTTTTGTTCCTGGTCATCATGATGTACCCCTTGTCTCCCCAGCTAAGTCCCCAGCTAGAAAATATGAATAAAACAATGATTTGCTTCCATTTGGCTTTTAAAAACACAAGCCCTTCATTTTTCTAATTTTTGAGAAAATAAGTGAGTCAATTTGCCTCTCATATTAGAAACATAAGTAAATATGAACACATTTACCTGTTTTTGACCAGCCAGTAGTCCTTTCCGTTTTGAGTGCCATAACCTACAGCCAGCACGCCGTGATCCAGCTCAGAGCTGCTGCAGTCAGGCTCATCATATACTCCTAGATGACACATACACACCAGTTAGATCGGTGCACCAGGAGCCCTTCACGTTTCTTCTGTGGGGAGTATTTCGCAGGGTTTACCTGAATCGTACAACTGGAAGGACTCATGAGATGCATCAATGGCCACAGAGATGGGTCCAATGGTGGCCACGGCCTCTTTCAGGGCGTCTTCGTCACCTGAGGTTATGTCAGTGTAGCCTGTGCAGGTGGCTCCGATGGTGTTGGGGTTGTAGCGGCAGTTTCCATCCTTGGAAGAAAATATAGCAGAATTCACAAAACTTTTTCCATAACACAATTTTATTAAAAAGCTATTTACATTTTGCTACATTTATATTTATATTTTGGGGGGGAGGGGTTAGGGTTAAGGTTGATCAAACCCATTTAATCAAAGCTCAAAAACTGATTCGAGGCAGTATGTCGGAATTTCCACTAGATGGCTGTACTTCCCTCCCTTTTTATGAAAAGTAATACTTTTAGAGCACAGAACAAATTTGCATCTTACAAATATGACATTCATAACTACTGATCAATCCAACACATTTTGGACCTCATAGCTTTGTTTTTACCTCTGCCTCATACGGGTAGGAGTCTTCTGTGTCGATACCTCCATTTGCCTGAATGTACTTGAAGGCATTGTCCATTAAGCCGCCGTTGCAGCCAAAGTTGCCATAATCACCAGAGCAGTCGACCAGCTGCTGCTCACTCAGAGACACCAGTTTTCCTGTCTTCTTGAAGTGTTGACCCTCTAGTGAGCCAGTCTAAACCAAATAAAGGACTTTTTAAAAATCAATGAGCCTGTATTTGTTCAAATTGTTGAGATTTTTTTTTTTTTTTTTTTTTTTTTTTTTTTGCACGAACCGTGCTGAAAGCCCAGCAGGAGCCACACTGTTTCTGGTCCTTGACATCAGTGACGTAACCCTTGTCCCTCCAGTCCACGGTGGTGGGCAGGTCGTTTCCGTCAGACATCCGGAAAAAGGTAGAGCCACTGCGAGGCAGGGTGGAGTTCAAGGAGCGCAGGGAGCCGCGAGAAATCAGGTGCTTGTATTCATCATTAGTCTGAAAAATGGAAGGAATAATGTCACAATTCAAGGAAATGTGAATGATTCCAGCTATAAATGCAACTGAAGATTGTAAAGATGGAAATACCATGTCAGCAAAGTAGGTCATGCCAAGGCGGTATGACTTCATGCCCTGGTCTGCTAAGATGTTGTGCATCAGCACCGTTTTGCGGTTGTTGAGCCAGGTTTGCCTGCGATGTGCCTCCTCTGATGGAGAGCTATAAGATCTTCCTGCAATCCACAAAATAAATGAAGAAAGCTTTCTTTTCCATTCGCTGACGATAAAACACCCAGCCAATTTTTCAAAAAATGAATCAGCTCCTTACCAAACTTGAGTTTCCAGGCGTGAAACTCTAGGTCTTCCAGGGAGACCCTGGCACAGCTGGCTACAGCCAGAAGAGCAGCGGCAAGCAGTAACTTCATCTTGACTGAAACATAAATTTAAAAAAGAGCAGAGATCCTCTGTGACTTGCAGGAAACCACACAGGTTGTAGCAGATCCTGTTTTCTGATCAGAATTGCTTCCTGACTTGGTATTTGATGTTACCGCCTCTGCAGAACATCAGCTTGATAACCTGTTTCTCCTTCACCTCTTCCTCCAACCCTTTTCTATCAGTGTTAATGTATAACAACATGTGTATCTTATCTGAGTTGCGTCAGCTTACCTGCCTCAGGTGTGTGTGTGCGCTGAAGACTGAGGGTTCTCCTCCAGAGCTGCGTGGAACAGTTCTTATATAGGTTGCAAAAGTTATGACGGCAGCATTCCTGTCAGGTGGCTGTCATGAGTTCATAAACAATGACAAAAAAATGACAAAGTCATGCAAGAAAAGGTGGAGTTTTGAATTATGAGAAGTTTTTCTGTTAAACAGGTTCAGCCTCAGCAAATCCACAGTTGGAGGGTTTTTTGGTGCACGATCCAGCTGGTTGTTGGTTTGAGAACATCAAGTCACATGAAGTTAAGTCACAGCTGGGATTTTATGCATTCATCTGATTCCAGTCAAGACTGTAACTAGAATTTAAAATCAAAACCGAACTGTTTTTTATGAAACCCGCGCCTCTTTGGAAAGCACTGAACGTAAGCGGGTGCATTTTTGTACAAGGACGCCCACTCAGTTAAAAATCTGGTGAATTTAAAGGAATCATCAGGATTCACACGAAGCGTTGGCTCACTTGGGACGCAGAAATGTAACAAAATATGCATACATTTATTAATTTGCTCATTTTTTATTTTATATACACAAGCAATTCCTCACATACTTAAAGCAAATCTTCCTTTACATTTCCCAACAGCAGGGTTGGTTTAGTCACGATTGCTAGAAACGAAAGCTTGAAGCCTGATTCATGCTTAAGCAAAGGTACATTTGCACTCCTACGGCACCAGGAAACACATTCTATGGCGTCAGATGGGTGCCAAAACCCATGACAGTTGAACTGTCACAACTGTAAAAAATATCACTGGAATAAAAAAAAAATAACCTTACAAGTTATCTGTTGTTCTTGCCTGGATTCAAACCCAAGTCCTCCAAGTGAAAGTCATCGGCTCTACGACCTGAGCTATGACAGCACTTGCTAAAGTTTGAATCAGATTTGTTGTTCCGCTACCCCCATTGTGCTCCGCGAGGAAACCAATGGGCCAATGAGATAGAGGGTAAGGAGCGGAAAAAACTTACCAATCAGAGGACAGAAAAGATCAGCCACAGGCCACGCCGTGGCCTGACATTCCAACATGATCCAACAGTGTTGGATCACCCATACGACGTCGCAGTGTTGGATCGTCGTATGAGCGATCCAACACTGTTGGATCGTCGGTTGGAGTCGAGCTCCATTTTCTAAACATCCAACGGCCGCGTTTTATGCTGAACATCTGTTACTGGTCAGCCAAACAACCCAACGTCATTTCCGGCACGACGTAGCTTCCCTTAAAAAATGTAAACAGCGCGAGTGTTGACAATGGACGGACACTCCACCGACGCCTCTTCCTTTGTCGTTCTCGCTGTGCTCTTTCTAATAACAATTGTTGTTCCTCTAGCTCAAACAGCTCCTGCTCAATAAAAGAATTTGCTCTGTGTCTGTGTCGTCCATCTTTTCGCGAGTGTATGTGCGTCGCAAATGGCAAATAGTAGTAGGGCAGACACATCACTACAAGAGTATGCACACCTGCATAGGAGTGCGCCCTCTGTTGTTTTGGCGGAGAATTTCTTTGCAACAGGGTCGGGGCAGTATGAATGCAGAGGAGATACGACACTGCAGCAGCGGGGGCGCAAATGTGCCTTTGCTTCAGCATGAATCAGGCTAAACTCCTTGTCTGCATTGTTGTGCAAATTTCACCCATCGAACCCATCAGGGATGTATGGAAATCCCAGTTGGCATTTAAGCAGAAACAAAAGTTCCTAAATGATTAAAATTCCAGATGTGATCCTTCATTTGATCTTTGTGATATCCCAACAGGGTTCTGTTTGACCTCCTAACAGATGGTTGTCACAAGGTTTTCCTGTCTTATGACCATTCAGACCATAAAAATCCTGTAAAATGAGAGTAAACTGAAAACTAAGCTGAAAGTTTACAGATGCCATTAAAATATTTTGTTCTTGTGACTTCTAACCACCCCTTTGAGCTTCCTGTCAGAAAATGGTTTGCAGTGTTTTAATAGTTTCTGATTTACTAAGTTATGTTCCAACAAGTAAAAAAACAAAACAAAATGCTCATCAAATAAGCAAACCACAACTGAAGTGTCAAATAAAACTAACATAGCATGAAAACAAATTCCCTCAGTGATCATTATACTCTTGTCAGCTGCAGCATTAGCTTCTCTTTATCAGTGAAATGAGTAACACTGATCGTCTCATTACATTATAGCTCATTACAACGGCAGTAAGTGAAGAATCCCTTGTTGAAGGTAATGACTTGGAAACAGGAAGTAGGTGTTTGAAACGGAGCGTCACGGTTTAAAAAACAGGTGGGTGAGAGCTTCTGGGTCAAGCTGGGAGGTTGCTTTGCATCACATGAGTTCTCTGACCTTTATTTAACAGACATTATTCATAAAATAATTTAAAATTACCAGAGGTGTGGACTCGTGTCACATGACTTGGACTCGAGTCAGACTCAAGTCATTATTTTAATGACTTCTGACTTGACTTGATAAAATCTATAAAGACTTACAACATGACTCGGACTTGAACGCCAATGACTTGCGACTTTAATCAACTGCATCTGTTGACTAGATAATGACTCGAGCATATTTGATATTTTAACACAAAAGTGGCACGACATGGACAAAAGTCATAAACCATTCTTCGTTCTGCATTTGATTTACTGCTAAATGCAGCAGCACTTTGTTTCTGTTGCACTTCCTGCTTGTTTGAGCAAATAAACTAAGCTTCAAAAAGCTTTAAGTCTGGAATTTATTTATTATCATTATCATTAAAATGAAGTTTGACAGATGACTTGATTATGACTTGAAAATTCTAAGTTAAGGTCTTTGACTTGACTTGGACTTCCACATCATTGACTTTGGACTTGAATTGGACTTGGTTGTCTTTGACTTGGACTTGACTCGAGACTTGACTGGAAAGACTTGTTACTTACTTGTAACTTGCAAAGCAGTGACTTGGTTACACCTCTGAAAATGACCAACCATCGCTTTAATAGTTACTTATCTTGGACCGTTCTTGACCCTATGAATGTTCCTGCAGATCAGTTTCAGGTGAGATATTTTGTTTTTTTCTCTTAAAAAACTCTTAAATTACAATGAACAACCATATTAATGCAATACTAAGTCCACAGGAATAAGTGTGTTGGAGCCACTAAAGCATACAAAGTAAAATGCACTGATATTCAAGTTACTGTAACTAAGACATACCATAGAACTGAGTCATTTCAATACTGAACTTGTATTTCCAGTGTTCGTGAAAACTTGTGAGCCTTGCCCATCATACTGGAAGATGAGGGAGTGTATAACACAGGAAGTGTTTTGAACTATGTAGGTGTCCCATCGAGGTGTCCTCATGTGCTTCAGATTTGTATATATTTAACCCTTTCATACATGAATTATGAAGTCTTCAACCACGATTTTTTAAAAACCATTTTTCACTCACTTTTAGTTAAGAATGAAACAAATTTCAACTATTTCTTTTTTTTAACATTTAATTTACAAGTGGTTTCCACCTCAGTGGCCACCAAGCGTTCTGAACATGAAATGTGTTGGCTTGATAAGATAAGTCTTTAACAGTTGTGCTTAATAGCTAAAGAAACAATTTTTAGTAAAATGGTAAATGGTAAATGGCCTGTATTTGATATAGCACCTTCTAGAGTCCTGGAACCCCACAAGGCGCTTTACAACACAATCAGTCATTCACCCATTCACACACACATTCACACACTGGTGGGGATGAGCTACGATGTAGCCACAGCTGCCCTGGGGCGCACTGACAGAGGCGAGGCTGCCGAGCACTGGCGCCACCGGTCCCTCCGACCACCACCAGCAGGCAATGTGGGTTAAGTGTCTTGCCCAAGGACACAACGACAGCGACAGACTGAGCGGTACTCGAACCTGCAACCTTTTGATTACGGGGCGAGCACTTAACTCCTGTGCCACCGTCGCCCCGTAGTAGCTGTCCACTATAGACCATTATGCATGAAAGGGTTAACAGTGACTTAAATGTCAATGTCATAGACTCTTGTGCAAATAGTCAACAGAGAATCTGCAGTTTGTGGTTTTCAAAAAGTTTCCTTAATTTTGAAATTTAAGAAAATAACTCAAGTCAATATGTCCAATGATTAGTAAGCAAATCTCTGCATACGTGTATATATTTTTTGACTTAGTGAAATTAACCTGCATTTAAATGCAATTTAACTCCAATAGAGCTCCGGGAGTTGACGTCACTTCTCCCGGCATGCAACAGTTCAAAACTGAAACGGCGCCATCTTGGCAGGCAGTAGCTCGCAGCTAGGCTATTTGTTATTGTCAGAAAACTCAATCAAACGTAGATTCCTGTTGTGCCCCAGGACAAGATAAGGGAAAAGCCTTCTATAGGATTCCCCAAGATCCGGAACGCCGCAAACGTTGGATCATTGCAATGAAACGCGCTAGCCTCCAGGCTAAAGTGAAATTGTGGGATCCCGAGAGTAAAGGTTTTCGCTTATGAAGCGACCACTTCATATCAAGTACTTAAACCAACGTTTCCTCAACTGTGTATGGTATTTATTTTAAATGCTTTTATAATGATTCTTAGTGGGCTTCCTAAACTTATTTTGGCGTGGCTTTTTCTGTCTTATTACTCACAGCAACAAGTAAACATCACGTAAAATGTTGCCTCGTGATTTCTGCGTGTCTTATGATCACAGCAATTAACCAGCTAAGCTGTATTTATTTTTTAAATTGTCAGATCACACATAAAAAGCACTTTGGATTGCTATTATCTGTCTCACCAATCCTGCCTGACATATTTATTATATTCACGGAAAAAAATCTGACTAGTGATTTCTCTTGGCGTTCAGTTTATACATTCAAACAGCACAGCACTCTATTTAAACTTCTTACATGTAAATCTATGTTATTTGTGTTTTTGTCTTAAAGGGACTTTACAGAGTTTTGAATTTTTATGCTCGCGATTTCCCCCTCAGGCCAAAAGCGTAACGGCAGCTTCAATAGTAAGCTCGTGCATGAGGCGCGCATGCTGTACGTGCACACTCCTTAACGAAAATAACAGCTGAGTCAGTCCCTTGTGTGTGTGTGTGTGTGTGTGTGTGTGTGTGTGTGTGTGTGTCGGAGGACAGACGACAGGAGAACGCGCAGCTAATTAA